TTATGTCACTCGGCAAATAAGGCTATCCAGCCTCCCAGATTATTCGTCCATTTCAACAGTCTTTCCTGGGGACACGAAATTCCACGAGCGGGTAAGCATTTCGCGCCATTGAAGAGGCTTCACAGGGTAAATGCCAAATATAGCCCGGACATAGGCTGGTGAGAATCTGAATGTGAATCGATGGCTCACAGTGCGGTAGATTTTTTCACGCGCCTTTATTTCGCTGGCTGTTTCTCAAGAGATCGAAGTCTGTAGCATTGTAGCATCTGTAGCATTGTCAAGGCTTGTAGCATTTTGGGCGGAACAATCTCGAAGCTTCAAACTGCCAAAATAATGTGGCAAAGTCGTACACCGGAGATTCTCCTTAACATCTAAGTCGCAGACAGAAGGTCCCTCTGTCATATATTATTTTTCTGAGCCTCGCTCCTGTCCGCCGCGGTGGCCACTTCCCTGACTCGGATGTCTCCCGCATGACTGATTGCGAACTGACGAGAGAGAAACAGAGAGAGGAGAGAGAGCGAGAGAGAGAGAGAGAGAGAGAGAGAGAGAGAGAGAGAGAGAGAGAGAGAGAGAGAGAGAGAGAGAGAGAGGAGAGAGAGGAGAGAGAGAGAGAGAGAGAGAGAGAGAGAGAGAGAGGAGAGAGAGAGAGATGAGAGAGAGAGAGAGAGAGAGATAGAGAGAGAGAGAGAGAGAGAGAGAGAGAGAGAGAGAGAGAGAGACGGTTTATTGAGAAAAACATGGCTTCGAGTATCAACTCATATAGCACATGTGCACATTATACATATGAAGCAGGATACTACTTAGTTCATAATATATCTGTGTTTATGAGAGTGGTTATATGGGGAATACTTGATTTGCGTAGTTGCCTACCGCACAAGATGTTTGGAGTGTGCTTGTGCTCCTGGTTTTTCTGTCGGAGATCGCCACTCGCTGCTTTGGAAGCAGACCTCTATGCATGCGAGACGCTTGCATTTGTTTTCCTAGCCTTAGGCATAGCTTTTCTCTTCTGTCAGCGAGGGTTTCCATGCCCAAGCGTTGCAAAATGTGCGAGTACTTTTCCGAATGGCCGAAGATAATTTTCAAGTCTCTCTTCTGCACTTTCTCAAGGTGTAGCGCCTTCTTGGCAGTGGGTCCCGCGTGAAAAACCGGCGCACAATATTCTAGCAACGACCGGATGCAAGTAACATACACACGGACAAGCTGTTCCTGCGGTGGATGATGCTTCTTTATTATGTAAAGCATATATAGAGCTTTCGATGCTTTGGTTACAATATCATCCACATGTGCTTGCCATGACATGTCTTTTGATATTGTTACGCCTAAAAGCTTAGCTTTGGTGGCAGTTGGCAGGCTTTTTCCTTGAATCATGATGTCCGGTAGTGCTAATGTTTTTTTGGCTGTGAAAAAATGCATGACTTGACATCTGTCAGTGTTCAATATCATCTTGTTTGCCGTTGCCCAATCACTTATCTTGTCAGTGTGCTCTTGCAAATGGTAGTGCCGATCTACTTGGTCAGTTCGACACGCCTGGTATACGGTAAGGTCGTCTACATACTTCAGTCGGTTGTCAATATCAGCAGCGGCACCGTCAACCAAAGCCAGGAAAGCAGCCGGACCAACTAAGGTGCCTTGCGGAGTGTCGTATGTCACGGTTCTCCAACGACTCATAGTTCCATTTGGCCTCTCGACCCGCTGCTGTCGGTCCTGCGAGAATGAGCAAAGCCACTTTGTACCCGGAGCGAAGTCACATGGCAAGCATGTTCTCGATAACTGCTGTGTGATCAGTGAGGTCAAATCCCTCCTTAAAATCGTACATAACCATAGAACATAATTTGTCTGCTCCGTATAACTCCGTCAGCAAATCATGCAACAACCTAACTAAATAGCGTAACGTTGAGGCACCTTTCGTATTTCCGTATTGGCGCCAAGAACAGCTAACTGATCGTATAGCTGCTTCGTTGCATATTTCTGGATCAGCACTGTTACTAACTGGCATGTAAAACATGCTGGACACTTGCAACAGTACCTTTTTCCGAATTATCTTCTCTTACACCGCACCAATCCAGAAAAACGCCTCCGGGATGCAGCCTACCTTAGGTATGAATCGGCTCAGAGGACACCCAATAGCCCATGATTCGACGTAGACGACTTGGTCTGCTTTGTGTGTAGGCAGGGGCGTATCCAGAGCCTTGCCAAGGGGGAGCACAGGGTTGACAAAAGCTCCTCTAATAGCGACCCCCAACAAAATCCGGGTATAGATTACTTGTCAACAACGGACACAGCTTTCGTCGTTTCACTGCTATTTTTACTTTGCAACCAGAACAGAAACCGGAAGCTACCGTGCTATCTTCAATTATGTTTGCATTTTAAAGTCAATAAACAGCAGAATTCAGACGTTGAACGACCGCATGAAATAAATCACCGATGCCCTTAATTGACAACGGTTTAGTGGCGTCTTTATAAACCGATAGAATTTAGAACCTTTGTCAGAATGTTTTGTCCGGGTTTTACAGACATTAAAAACATCGCGAAGGTCGATTATAGATCAACATGTTTGATCGTAATTTGAAGATGAAAATTCGATCGTAGATCGAGTGGTCAACTATGTGTTTTAACACAGCCAAGGCATGTTTGTCTGGAAATATTTGTAATATTCAGTCAGGATCGATTAGTGATACAGTTTATGTAACGTAATTTCTTAACATGCACGCTCACAAATCTTAGCGACAACATCGACACCAGGCGTTGCGGTCTCCACAATTCGCGGAGCATTTGTCTAGTGGCTAACTTTTCGCAGTGGCCCAGTGGTGGACGAAAATTACGACACCTCCGAAATAATTGCTTCTAAACAATAAAACGGATCAACAACGCAGGTTGCGTGACGTAATTTTGAGTACACGCACCCGCAAATCTTAGTAACAAAAACCTCGACGCCAGGCGTTACAATCTCCCTGGGATGCGCAGCGACAACACAGCACCTAATACTGAGTCGTCCCTAACGGGCAGACGAAAATGATGACGCTTCTGAAAGGAGTAACTTTGAACGCTTCAGGATATGAAATCTTACTTTTAAAAGGAAGTCTAGGCGCAAATTTCACGTGTGCAATTTTTTAACTGATGATGAGGACGAATTGGCCCTTAAAGCACCGCAAAGTGGTGCTGGAATCTGATGGTGGAACTGGAAGTGTAAAGGTAGAATCTCTATTGTTCGTGTTTTTGTAATTATCAACCCGTGCAGTAGACTGATTATTACGGCGCCCGCCGGCTGTTGGCACTTTCAGTCGCCGACGCCATTCGGTTTTACGGAAGTTGCAACCCAGGTCATCGCTGTCCTTGCCCTCGAGATTGCGGGCGGGCATGTTCAAACCTTTTGATGCATTTTTCACTAATCCATTCCGAAAAATTAACACTCTCGGGCAAACATAGGATGACTCCATTGTTTTTTTTAAAAAAAATGCATTTCGGCGCACTTTATTCAACAATAATGAGACCCCTCATTTCCTCCCAGGCAAGCTGCCCCGTAAGTAGAACACCAGGGGCACATTACTAGTTCCGGTCATGGACTGAAGGGCCACTCCGTCCCATCGCAAAGTGTCTTCTCTAGCGACACGGAGCGGGATCTCCTGGTCGATCCGGAGGCCATTAGGAGGATGCATCATTTCGCATTGCTCCCCCCCCCCCCCTAGCACGGGAGGTCTTCTGACCTGCGCAATTGGCCCTGGGTCAGGATAGCAACTCTTATTGGCGCAACAACATGCCTGATCGCCGCGGGTGGTCCAGTAATGTAACATGGACCACAGTTCCTCGTCTTTCTGTGTTCTTCAGAGATGTTGAGGACTCCCTGAACGTAGATTGTGGATGAAATGGGGTCCCAAATTTGTATTAACATGGCTAGCCCATCTTCATCTTAGAATTTTCAAGATTCAGTCAGAATTGATTGATGATAAAAAACATATGTAATATGGTTCTGAACAGGCGCGCTCGCAAGTCATAGCAACAATAGGCTGAACGCCCGGCGTTGCAGTCTCCATGGGCCGCGTGGCGTTGGCCTGCGGCTGTGACATTAAACGATGGCCAATAAGCAAACGAAAAGATGACGCATCTTGAGGAAGATGGCTGGCGAACCAGATAAATTGGCATGTATATTTAGGCGTGGCGCAAAAGTAAACTAAACACAAGCAACATAGCAGCAACGGCCTCGACGCCCGTCGTTGCAGTCTCCTCGGGCCGCGCGGCGTTGGCCTGTGGCTGAAACAGTGAACGAAAGCCATAAGAAAGCGAAAAGATGACGCATTTTGAAGCTTTCTCCTCCAAGCTTCGCTCCAAGCCCTCCTCTAAGCCCTCCAAGCTTCACAGAACTTAGCTATAATTCGTCATAGTGGCTCATTAATTCGCTGCCAAATCTCAATGGATTAATATGAGACTGGTAATGAAAACCACCTAAATAAGAAAAATAGACTCAAGATGAGTATTTAAAGCCGTTAAGGCTCACTTTGATCAAATAGGTTTTGAAACGCCATGAAGGTAACCCTCGGTGACGTCATAGGCCAAGTCGTGCAGACAGATGTTCAGGCTTTGGAATGACAACGGCCTTGGAAAGGTGATATGTACCTTGGCTTTGGGCTGGCTTGGGCGTGCGTGCAGTTCAGTGTTGCGCGTGGGGGTGGTCGCCTGTGTTGTTCCGTCGGTGGCGGGGACAGTCTAGGTTTTGTTTTTGGGTGATCTCACTCTCTTGAACGAAGGTGGGTATTTTCCCAACGTCTTGGTATCCTTACACGGTAGAGCGTTTGCTTTTCCGTCTTCACCAGTTGAGAATGATAATTTAGGCAGACCAATGGTGATGGTATACATTGGTACCTAATTTACCTACCTATGGTACCTATCTAAATTAAAAAAGCGTTGCACATCAATCGTTGTGTTCTTTCCTCACAGGAGTAAAGCTCAGAAGCTTTGCCAAGATTTGTTGCTGTGGCCCAACCAGTCATTTGGGGGTCTAAATTGCTGCTAAGCCAATACATAATTTGCCAACATTTTGTAATGGAAATTTTTGTGCTAGGGTGATTTTCAGTTACCTTGACTATTTTATGATAAGATTGAGCATATGGAGCTAAGCCATGAAGGCAGCTTAGCAGGGTATGTGAAAACTAGAAGCAGGCTGTTTCCTAGCCTTCAAAAAATGAAATGTTGTCCCATGGCCATCAACTGGAAACAAAATAATTCAAAATAACTACTGGCTTCTCCTGCTCTGTTGCAGCATGGGAGGACTTCCACTGCCTGTGCAGTTTGATGATCTGGTGTATTCCCCCCCCCCCCTCCAAAAAACCAGTGGAGAAAGGCAGGCCTGCTGTCCTCTCATGATGACTGCAGGACACCTTTGCAGTATGTTGAGGATGCCAGTTTGCTGCACTATTCATAAGATTGGATTGTTTTTCAGGTCAAAATGGCTCACTTCAAGTTGTGTTCTATAGCAGCTTTGGCTTTGTGCTGTGGAGCTCTGGTAAGTGTTTATTGAAGTTATTTGAGATTACACAGTTGGTAGCCTTTGTTTGGGTCTTGAATTTCCATTTTTACCCATTTTGGCTTTGTGTGTTAAATATTTTGATTGCTCGCACAACTTGCTAAATGTAATTTCTACACATGTGAAAAGAACACTGAATGGGCAAGAAATCACCATGAGTGAAGCTGCCCATCTCATTTTGATCCCCTCCAGTGACCAATGGTGACCTGCGCCTTGTGCCATCTGCCACAGCTGACAGGTGCTGAACGAGTCACGCAGGAAGTCTACTTCGACATCACCATTGGTGGCGAGCAGGCCGGCCGCATCCAGATTGGCCTGTTCGGCGACACGGTGCCCCGCACAGCGCGCAACTTCGCCCAGCTGGCCAGCACCGGCGCCGAACTGGGCGGCCAGAGAGGCGGCTACGAGGGCAGCCCCTTCCACCGCGTCATCAAGAACTTCATGCTCCAGGGTGGGCGTTGCGTCGGTCAGGCGGACTGAGGGCCCCCCCCCCCGACCCGGGCCCGATTGGGGTCTCTGGGTTGGGTCGGCGACCAGTGGAGGACCATGAGATGTGACCTCCGACGTGGTTTGGGGTCCACGTTTTTGCCCCAGGGCGTTGCCCTAACACGACTTGACCCCAGCGTTGGTCTCCGGCCGGTGTTGGCGGCCAGCTTTGGGCAGGAACTGGCCGTGCCCTCAGCGTAGTTCATTGGCCGACGTGTCGGGTTGGGGCCGGTCTACGGCTGGTGGTTTGGCGGGCGCGACTGGCGTAACGGTATCTGCGCGACCCTCTGTGCGGCCCGTCCGCCGAACCGCTGCCGCTCCCGCCGCTCTCCATTCACCCCTCCCCCTCGGCTTGCTCAGGCGGAGACTTTACCAACCGGGACGGCACGGGCGGCTTCAGCATTTACGGCCGCTCCTTCGAAGACGAGAACTTCAAGCTGCATCACACGGGCCCTGGCATACTGAGCATGGCCAACTCTGGGCCCGACACCAACGGCAGCCAGTTCTTCATCACCACCGTCCCCACCAGCTGGCTGGACGGCAAGCACGTGGTGTTCGGAAAGGTGAGGCCGCTGGCCGCGGCGAGCTGTCCCTCTCGGGCGGGCTGCAGCAGCGCGACTCTCGCCAGCGGTCGCGGTTGGATGTCGGGGTCGATGGCCGTGAGGCTATTGCCTGTTGCGAAGGGAGACGAGTTTCCCGAGCTGTTCTGTCTATGCTTGCCAGTGCTGTATGGGCCTGGTGGTATTCGCTCTGGTTCACTTCTGAGGGCGACTTCCTGACAAGACGCGTCTGTCCTCGCCAGGTCACCCGGGGCATGGATGTGGTGCGCAAGATCGAGTCTCTCCGTACCAACAGCCGGGACCGGCCCGTCCAGGACGTGCTCATTGCCAAGTCGGGCCTCGTCGACTCGGCGCCGTTCGAGCTGGACCTCAGCGCCGCCTCCAAGTAATGAGCGGCGCGAGTGCGTCTGGCCGCTCGGCGGGTGGTCCCTGGCGGGGCCGGCGCTTCGCTGGGCGACCGGCCGCCGCCCGCGCCTCCGCCTTGGCTCGCAGGGCACGAGATGCTTATCGCTGCCGGGTCGTTCGGAATCTCCCGCTCTCAGCTCTTGGTTATTGACGACGGCATTCCGTGACGGGGAACTGACATTCAAAACAAAAAACGTGTAAATACATGATTTACCACTGGTCTTGTGTCGAAGTGATGTCGTCGTAGATCTTTGGCTGCGGTGCATATTAACGCATGCATGTGGTCTCCTCCCTTTGCATGCTGCGACGTTCCTGGCGCTGCTGCGAGCTTGACTGAGAGGTCCCATGCCGCTGCGATGTTGACGTGTCACCTACATGGCGCACTCAGGCGTTGTGCTATCGGACGGCTTGTGATAGCAGACTTGACTAACCCCCCATACCAGAGGGTTGTCTACCCAGACGTGGTCTCCGTAAAGAGGTAATACGCAATCTATGTGCCGTCCATGTAAACGGCGAGACTTCACCGCGTTCGGTGCCGGAATACTTACCTTGTGCGAAATCAGCTGAAACATGAGCGGCGTAGATCGTTAGTAGCGCTTGGGTGGCGTAGGCATGGAGCATGCTGATGTTATAACGGCGTCGCGACATGGGCCGTTTTGGTGCGTGCTAGGTCGTGTTACTCGATTGCGCTGAACTTGGGGCCTCGTGCAACGCGGCCCCAAGCTCAGAGACATCTTTCGAAATCTAAAAACTTGCTGAGCATGAATACTCGCATTTGTGAGTCGCCTGGCGAACTGGCGGCGGAGGCAACAGTCGGCTGTGGGAGCGTGTACTGAATACTCTATGGCCCTCCTCCAGTTGTAGCATGAACACTGCCAACAACGCGTCTGTGATACATCCTGCCTGGAACGTGGGACCACTGTTGCTTTTCTGGAATCCCTCTAAGCGCCATACTACCGCCAAATGTCAAATACATGGCTCTGGCAGGCTATGTGTGTAGACCATGGTCTCACGCTTGAAAGAACTCGGCCAGAAGGACCAACATATATTTCGGCGGTGTTCCATACACCAGAGGCGGATGGCCCGCGCCAGCGCTCATTCTGGTGTGGTGAGGAGCCAGCTGACGCTCGCTGGCTTGTTTTGGGGCCGACTTGTGCCCGGTGCCGCTGTGATGCTGCATTGGTCTCGCCTTTACGCAGAGGCCCTCGATTGGAGGGAATGACAACAGGACTGGCGACGAGGGCCAGTTGTGGATGTTTTTGAGTATTTGTCGCCTGTGCGAAGCATGGAAGAGAATGTGGCGCCTTTAGCTACCTACCTGAGCCGATCATAGTTCGCCCCGCGCGCCGTCTGTAGGCCCCATGCAAGATACTCGCGCCACATATAGGTCTTCTTGAGTGTTCATTGTTACTTGCGCTGACACCCGCTCTCGCGAGATTGCTTAGTGAGCGTGCGACGCTTTTAAATCGGGGTTTATTACGAGAAATATGAAGAAACGGTTTTCTATCCTGGTAGCATCTCAACACCGGAGAAGAGGCAGCAATGCTGTTTCAATTCCGTTAATGCCTTGCGCGCGTCAAGGTGGTCTTGGTCGGCTTTTTCCGGACCACTACCTTGACCTACTTTATTACGGGTCACCCATCGTCGTCGCCTCTCGCTGCATAATCAACATGCTGCTGCTCTCGCGGGTAATGGACGTGCCCCGATTATTGTCTGGGGCCCCGGTCCCCAGACCGTTCTGCCAGTCAGAAACGCTGGCCAGGCGTCCGCCCGCGTCCGTGCCGTCCCAGCACGCGCCCCGGTCCCCAAACCGTTCTGCCAGTCAGAAACGCTGGCCAGGCGTCTGCCCGCGTCCGTGCCCACCCAGCACCCGCCTGATGCCGGGAAGTGAGCCGGCGCGCCGCAGGGTCGGCCGGCCGCGCCTGGTTCGGTCAGCCGACCCTGGACCGGTCCGGGCCGGCTGCCCCGACCGGTTGCCCTCCGTTGCGGTCTCGGGGAGGGCAGTGAACCGGGCGCCAAACGGGCCCACCTCGGCGCGTGGGATGGGCTCGAGGTCACTGTACCTTCCGCTGCACGAAAGGAGGCTCCGCCCCTGAAGGTGAGGCATGGTGTCTGGACACGCTCTTGATTACTCCGGAAACCATCCAATAGCGCTGCTTTTTGTTTTGGGAGATTTTGGGAGTTAACGGAAGCAGGCTTCTGCACCCCTCACTCGACCTGCGGCGCTATTTGATCGTAAGGCAACGCCTAAGACACAGTGCGCTGAAAGTTATCGAAAGGGCACATTAAAGGCACGCTTCGCCGAGAGAAATTCGTCATGAACAGCGCCTTGCCGCGTTGGCAGCTGGATGTGGGTAGCGGATTGGCGGATGTGCTTGCTTTGACCCACGTTTCATGAAAGTAAGATAGTTTAACTCCCACGGGTGTGACGGTGCCGTTAACTTGTGTAGTATGGACGATAGGGAGCCGCGCGGCAGACTGTGCCCAACGGCGTGATGACTCGACGCTAGCCGCGTGTGGTGTCCAGCCTGTCAGGCGTAAGTTTCAATACCGCTTAGGCATGCCGCTTTCATAGCATGCCACGCAAAAACTGACACCTCCAGGGGCGCAAACTAACACCTCCAGTGACTTGGGTCGACTCCTGACGAGGTGACGTCCGAGTCAAGACGTCATCGAGCCTTGTTCGGCGGCCGTCTGGTTCGCATTTCGTAGTGACCGGCAGAAACCTGACCGTGGAGTATTCGTAAGCCTCGTCCGGAGGCGAGGACCAGGTACGACACCGCCCGTTTGTGAGAACGCTCTCGGATTTCGAGATTATGTCAACTTATGTAAATAAACACGCGATCGTGGTGCATGCATGGTCACAAGGACGTAGCGCTCCCTTCGGCCCCCTGTGTTGCGTTAGCTGCTTTCACGAGCAGCCAACATACCTAACTGCCCACTCTGGACGAATCACTGTTGGCCTCGTTGATATCGCTGCATAGTGTTGTCTGGCTGACGGCACATGAGCCAACTGGCGTTCTTTGATATTCAGGTTGAATTTGGAATTTGAAGGAGTACCTTTTTCCCACCCCCACCTCTTTCCCCTCCCCTCCCCCAACTTCGGCAGAGAAATGTGTGAGATATGTGGATAATTTTGTATTCGTGTGGAGGTGATGTAGTTTCAGCCAGATCATCTGGCTCACATCCCCCACCCCGCTCTCAAATCCGATGTTGCAAAGCCTCTGCACACGTCCCTACAGTGGTTTTCACTAAGCGCTTGGCGATGTGCGCCGCCGCCCAGTCAGCTGTATCTACGGCTGGCCGGCCGCCGTCGCCTCGTCCCCAGCGGCGCAGCTCTCCGGCCGCCTCCACCGCGGCTGACCATGACGTCACAAACGGGTGGCATTGGCCTCGTGCATGGAAGGTTACCTGGTCCGGCCCCCGGCGTCCGGACGGATGCAAGGGCGGAGAATGTCGAGATAACTGGTGGGGCAAAGCCGACAGAGCGAGTATTTGCAGAGATGGAGAGGGAAAATGTTGAAATTGTGCTTGTTTTGAGGCTGGCTGGTGCGGCGGGCGTCACAGCGGCCAGCCCGTGCTCGGCTGTGAGCAGCTCCCGGCCTGGCCGTGCTCACTCGGCCTGGCCGTGCTCGGCTGTGAGCAGCTCCCGGCCAGGCCGTGCTCAGCTGTGAGCAGCTCCCGGCCAGGCCGTGCTCAGCTGTGAGCAGCTCCCGGCCAGGCCATGCTCGGCTGTGAGCAGCTCCCGGCCTGGCCGTGCTCGGCTGTGAGCAGCTCCCGGCCAGGCCGTGCTCAGCTGTGAGCAGCTCCCGGCCAGGCCATGCTCGGCTGCGAGCAGCTCCCGGTCTGGCCGTGCTCGTCTGTGAGCAGCTCCCTGCCTGCCGCCTGCACTCGGCCCTCCCGCTGCCGGCCGCTGACCTTCAGTGGGGCGCGCCTGCCCCATTCAGCCAGGAACGACGGCCAGGACGGAGTTTGGTGGGTTGGTAGTCATATGTCTGCGGCGTGGCGACCGATGGCCAGCGGAGGAGCAGAACGCTGGCGGGAGACAACGGCGCTACGTTGACTGTAGACGCTGGCTGAGGTTCCGAACGGAGGTCATTCAGAGAAATGCTGTCCTGCATTCGTGGCGTAAGGCATGCGCGTTGCTGAAATTGCTTCCGATGTGGATTTCTAATCCAGATGATCTTTTGGTGCAACACAGAAAAATGTATCTCAGGTGGTTCGATGAAAAGGCGCATAGAATCTTTGATTCCAGTAGATGTCTCGAAATAGACGGCAGTCTGTTTCACTGGAAGCGATTCGTGACAGTGTAACGCTGGGAAGCTTGCTTGTGCAAGCTACACGTGACCTCTTTTTGGAAGTTGGTGGCAATTGATGGTTTGAATTCGGGCAGGAATTGTGACAGACCGTACCATGTGTTTATTGCCTTGCAGCTCTGACGCTTATTTTTGGAAAAGCTCATTTTAGCCTCACCCCGGGTGTCAGCCAAAAAAAAAAACACACTGCGCACCAAAATGGGAATTGGGAGACCTTTTGACGAAACGGTGATGAATGCTATGAGTCCGAATCTGAGGCCTTTTTTCTGCATATGCTCAAATGGACCCAAAGCTTGCAGTGTCCTTCAGCAAAGTTTCAAAGTTTGTCTGAAATTTCGGAATATTTGGGGTCATGGATGCAACACTCCCTGTGTTCATCCATGTATATGATCCGCACACATATCTGCTCATCGTAAATGAGCACCACTTACACATGGGCGTAATGCGAGGACCAAGAGTGGATTCAATGTATTATCCTGGAAACCACCTAACTGACAGAATCGAGAACGCTGCGCGATGTTCGAAACAAAGTTCGACATGTCAGTCATAGATCCGGGAGAGTGGCACCGCCACAGTTGTCAAGTGAGAATACGAGCAACGGAGTACTGACTTTTTCAAGGCCAATGCTCTTATATGCCCTTAACGCTGAGTTCAGTATCATGAATTAAGTCACTTGAATTGTTGGCTGCCGCCTGTTCGCAACACAGTCCTCGCTATGCAAAGCTTGTTGCGTGCGCAGTTTTTTTCCAAGATTTTGTCCAATCCTCTTGAATGGATGAGTTTCTAGGCTCATGCTCATCCTAAGCAGTGGTTTTGCATGAGACTCGGCCCGGCCATCTGACCAGAAATTCCGATTCAGCGGCAGAATTTGGCCGCGAAAACCTAACATGCGGCAATGCTCAGCATGGCCCTTCCTGCCCTGTGACCTGACCTTTTACCTGACCTTTAGCGTGGCCGGTGCCACCGACCGCAGGCCTCGTAGTCAGGGGCAAATAGTGAGCGCGCCTAAAGTGACCTAAACCCACCTCCCCACGGGTGGGTGGATCGGCAGGCAGGCGCTCCAACTAGCCGAGCCATCAGCCGGACAATGGCCGCGCCGCCCGAGAGATCTGAACCGGGGCCTATTCTACAGCCAGTGGCCTGCCACGGGGCAGGAGTGACCGCCAGCGACCGGCAGCGCACCGCGTTATAAGCGAGGTGCCTGCTGCCTGCTGCGCCTGGCGCCTGCTGTGCTCCATGCGCTGACCGAGGCGGCCACTGTGCTGTGCACCGCCTGAGATGGCTGATTTACTGTGTACCGACTGAGAGGCCTGCTGTGCCGTGCCGTGTGTGAGCCGGCTGCTGTGCCGCCTACGGCGCCCGCTGTTCCGTGCCGTGTGTGAGGCGGCTGCTGTGCCACCTACGGCGCCCGCTGTGCCGTGCCGTGTGTGAGACGGCTGTTGTGCCGCCTGCGGCGCCTGTTGTGCCGTGCCGTGCGTGAGACGGCTGCTGTGCCGCCTACGGCGCCTGCTGTGCCGTGCCGTGTGTGAGATGGCTGCTGTGTCGCCACGGACTGGCGGCTGCTGTGCCGTGTACCCACTAAGGCGTCTGCTGTACTGTGTTGCAGGGCTAGCTGCCATCCCGCCGCGGCCGCCCTGCCGCTGCTGCTGCTGCTGGCCAGGGCTGTCGTGGTCTAAGTGACGTCATAGTCGCGGCTGGCGCGGACACCCTCCGCGCGCGGCTGGGGAGACTCCGCGAAGCGCGACTACACATGGAAGACAGATTTGCGATAAAATCCATTTCGATGCCGGACCCATCGTGCAACTTGTAGTACGGATTTTTACTTTTATAGTCTGTAAACGTTGATCAACAATAAGCCCATATTGCGGCGCATTGAATCGTTCCGCTATTATGATGTCAGCGTGGGAAAGGTACAATTCAGTGGACTGTCTTCTAAATTGTGTATCTTATAGAGTAGAGAAGTGAGCATATGCTTAAGCCTCCACCAAATAGGTTCAACTGTACGACCTTGAGGTTCCACCACGCCCTCCGCCTCCCCATCCCCACCCGCTGTAGCAAATTTATGACATGCATTTTTATGTCTGTGACGTAATGTTGGGAGTGAAAAATTAGGTTAGATGCGTGAAATGTGCAGAGCGAGAACATGTGATGGTGTTGAACGACACGCAAGAAATTTGGCGCACCTGCCGCGTGCTAATCTCAGTTTTCAGTGGACATTTTTGACCGTGCCCCTCCCCACGTGAAACCTACGCACGCCCCACTTGATGGCGCTCCCATTATGGCTACGGTTAAGTTTACAGCCTTACGACTCAATAAGTAGTAAAAAATGGTGATATCGCATGCGGTTGGAATGTGTGCGGGCCGAAAAAGCCCCTTGGTAATCACAACATTAGTTTCTGCTGGTGCCAAGGAAAATAAATCAAAAGTTATTTGGAAGGCGTTAAACCTTTCATGTCATCGTATGACGTTTCGATTCAATGTCTTTCAGAGTTGAGATTCATGTCGTTAGCATCCGATCAGATAGTACAAGATATTTTTGGTAGAGGCCCGAACAAAAAGGAAGTTGGCAAGGAAATTACCAATACTGCAAGCATGTATGTAATGGTCGCTAGGCTGTGGGCAGGGGCGTATGGGAGATCTCACAATGGGGGGGGGGGGGGGGGCACAACTAAATGTACGCTAAAAACGGAGTGTGGGCGAGGACAATTTCTAGTTTGTCGTAAAACGACTTCAAATGTTCTCAACTTTATCATTTTTACATGTCTACCTGGCATCAAGTGTCAACACTCGGCCACGTACACATGATCAGGGGCGGGGGCACTGAACCGTTGGTGACCGTGTGCACACCTACCTAGATGCGATAACTGTTGTAACTTGTTTGGCAACGCCCTAGTAACTTTTAGGATAATTGGACTATGTTGTTAAAAACACATAAAATGAAGCCAAAGTAGAAATGAATCCTGGCAACATTCGAGGGCGGAGGAGGGGCGCAATGCGGTACAACACAGCACGTATATTTTTGTAAGAAGAATTTAACTGCTCAGTCTGAACGGCTCGTGGCGACCGTCGTACAGTCTTATGCTGTTGATTGCAATGACGCCTAGTGCCCGAGATGCCCAACATTCGTCATGCATATATTATGCCAGTCGACAATGCGAGATGGCCAATGTAACCACATCAAACCAAACGGAGCCAGGTTGATGCCCGGTAGTTTTCGTCTCTTTCCCTTCAGGCTGTGCGGTCGATTAAATGAGACACGCGTAGTTTTTCACATCACCAAAGCACATACCCGTGTCCGTGGCTGCCTATGCCAATAGCGGGTTTCGCAACACATTTAATCGCGCTGTTGAAAGATTATGTAAAGTCGCGGGATTTTATATTGTTTTATATTTTGTAAGGAATTTATTTTATATCTAATTATATAAAGTCGGTTGCTTCTGAAGGAACATTTTCATAATTATGACCACTTTGCGGAGGACTGCGCCCCCAGGAAACCACATAGGCGGATCCTGGGGGCGGGGGGGGGGGGCACGGGGCCATGCCCCCAAAACCTCTGAAAGTATGTTTTGCCCCCCCCCCCAAATACAATCCCAGAACTTTATAAAGTTTCGTCTACTTACCGTCTAACTATTTTAACCGTTTTGTTTTAACTTCTGTTTAATATGTAAAAGTATTTCGGTGCTTTTTCGGTTTTGAATGGTGTCCCTACTAGGTACTCGCGAGAGGTGCCGTGCACTGGACCTCGGATCCCACACCAGCCAGCTGGCGACGAACGGTCCCCCCCCCCAAAAAAAACCAGCAACTCCAGGCTAGATCCACCCCAGGAAACCATGTGTTCATTATATTTAGTAGCGTGACAGGCAGCCTCTGAAGGGAAATTTTCATAATTAAGACCAGTGTGTAAAGGGCTGCGCCCCCAGAGAGCCACATGTTCACTGTATTAAGTCCCGTGACAGGCTGCTTCTGAAGGAGTATTTTCATAATTATGATCAGTTTGTGGAGTACTGCGCGTCCAGGGAGCAACGTGTTCACGTTTTTCCCCCAATTTGCCGACCGACCATTGCCATGGGTACGAACCGATGAGTGTTCCGCACGTGCGTCTTGTAATGGTGTTCGTCAGGTCACAGCCGAAAGGTGTCATAATACACCCGCCACGTGACGTCACTGTTATGACTAAGCGAATCTCGCACATCGCTTTGGAGCGCCTGGCGAGGCAGCGCACTTTGAGTACCTGTCCGACCCAAGGAGAAGGGCTTCGCTGGCGCGGCCTCGACGACTGGCGAGTGGACGGTACACGGGGGCTGGCCGGGCCTCGCTGAGTCAGCTGGCTTCAGTGGAGCTGCCTTCCACTCCACGGCGTCGGTGTCTCTGCAAGTACTTCGTCGGTGTCTTCGTACCATAGCAGACCAGATCCACGTGGTCTGCGTGGTTCGACGAGCATACTTATGGCGGGCGGGGATAGCTGGCTCAAAACGCCAATGTCAGCCATCCGCTACCGGAGGGCGGACGAAAACCATCAGCATACCTGTCTTCAGGGCTTTTCGTGGAAACGTTGGTCGGTGGCAGGGGTCCGCTAGCAGCGAACGTCTGCCGTGTGACCCAGTCACATTCAACTGGACGTGAGAGGCGAGCGTCTGGGATGCGACTCCGCGTATTCAAACAAGCTAATCAATACCTTTAAGATGCAAGGGCAATATGCACCAGGTCACACTAACACAGGGCACTTCAAGCTCCTTCCAGTGCCAGCATTCCCTCAAAAGAGCATTCTTGCACAACCGGAAGATTGTGTGCTTGTAAGCAAACAAACGAACGAAAGAACATATGGCTACTCCAGCTCGAGAACTTTATTCATTACATCTTCAGTCCAATAGCTCGACTCATGAGCGTCAAATCGCGAGATATGAGAAATGTAAATACTACCGCCCCTGGTGGTGACACCCTAAGCCCTCGATGCTGCGTGCGCGTGAACAGCTCGGCTTCTTTTCCGGTCACGCCCACTGTCCGCAGCGCTATACACGAGAGTTGGAGGCCTCCTCGAACAGACAGACCTTAGCGAGAGGTCTCTGAAGCAGCCCCGACAACAGCGCAGTTTGACTGACCGCACGCGGCCATCGACGCTGGGGATCTCGTTTGCCACGCGCGCCAGAGGTCACATAACTCTGGGAACAATGTTTTCGACCAGCAGTGTCAAGTCAGTCATTTGCAGGCTTCCTCTCCCTCGAAATCACTTCTTCGCTGTGTGGGAGGCGTTTCTAGAGTCAGTGAGTTTCCACAGCTGCTCGGTAACACGTGCCGTCGAATAGTATGCCCTCGAACACGCACCGTGCAAGGCCGGTGACCGCCGGTTGGAGGTGAGCTGTCTTTTCTGCCCTGAATGATGACAACTTATCGTGGGGATGGATCGCAGTTTTGAAGCAACGGGCTTGAGCTTATCACGCAGAGCGGAAGCGACACCTGGGCAGATACGTACGCTAAAAAAAATGTTGTAAACCACCCGAACGCTCTTGCAGAGGTTTTCTACAGCATAGAGCATCTCAAAACGCGCAGCCAGCCCTAGCAGTCACGCTGCCACCGGGCGCAGCATCGCCCGGTACAGAAACTGCGCCTCAAATCGGTGGAAAGTGAAATATCTTCAAGCGGGCTGATGGGAAAATGAGAGCTTTCCGTGATGCTCGTGTACATGTGGTGCAGCAAAAACGGCAGGTAAGTTATTCTCTTTAACCTGACGTAAGCCAACCTTATCGGGACCTGTTCCAAGAGCTACGGGTGCTTGCAACTCAGAAGGACTAAGGGCTGAAAAACTAAGGGCATTTGGCAGCAGTGGCAAACGTCTCTCGTCAAAAGTCAGCCAAACTTTTATCATTCAGGTTTCATCCTGTTCGTAAAAAATTTTGCGATATTATCGGCAAAATGAACTGAATGTTAAAGCTGCTTTGGGGTGGAAATCGGTTGATACGTATCATTTATTTCGCGTTAGACCAGTTCACGAGAACGCTTCGATGTTTTGTCCCAATCTTTATGGTCGGAAGGCGCAGACGTAAGACAGTGGAACTTGGCCTACTTTCTTCCCAGTGTTGGGGAGGTCAAAGACCAAGTTGGGGAGAAGTGGGCCTGAATCGCCGCGAACTGAATAGGAAACGACACCTCTGTGAGCCATCGCCAGTCACTCTAATTAACATGTTATAAGTGTGAATTCCCTCACTCGCGGCCACAGCTGGTAATCGGATTGAGCTGATTTAGCTATCATTTTTGGCCAGAATGGAGCAAATTCTATAAAAAACATAGTTTGTTGATCAAGACTTGGATCGGATTGGTGACTGGCACAGTTGTTTCATAGGCGTAGGAACGTTTGAAACAGTGTGTGTGTGGGGGGGGGGGGGACAAGCTCAGGGCCTACTTCAGGACCTTTTTCTGGAAAACAAGCCCAACGACCGGTGGGGGGAGGGGGAGGGAGGAACAGAGATGGAAGTTAGCGCTCTGTATTCAAACGTAATGACTGCTATTCTAGATATGCATCTAGAGCTGTTTCTCACTGGTGCACACGCTTGCCTATTCGACTCATCTATGCCATTCGAAAATTAAGGCTGTCCAGCTTCCGAAGATTAATCGTCCATTTCAACGTTGTCTTTCCTGGGGAGGCGAAATTCCACGGACGGGTAGGCATTTTGGGCCATTGAGGAGGCATCTGTCTTCACAGGTTACATACCAAAATGTGGCCTGAACATAGGCTGGTGAAAATTTTGAAAGTGGATCGATGGCTGACAGTACAACAGATTTTGCATGCGCCTTCATTTCGCTGGCTGCTTTTCGAGAGATAAGACCTGTCGCGCCATTTCAGACGAAAACAAATTCGGGAGCTTGAAACTGCCAAAAACCATGTAACGAAAGCCATAGAACTGGAGATTCTTCTTTGAAAACCAAGGCACAGAATAAAGGCTACTCTGTCATATAGTCCTTGTCTGAGCCCTGCTCCCGTCCGCCGTCGGTGGCCACTGTCCTGGCCCGGCTATCTCCGAATGACTGACAGCGAACTGATGATATGGCTGTTTTGTTGCACATTTCTGGATCAGAATTGTTATTAATTGGGATGCAAAACATGTGTTGGACACCTGCAACAGTACCTTTTTCCGAATTATCTTCCCTTACACCACACCACCCCAGAAAAATGCCGCTGGGAAGCTGCCTACTTTAGGTATGAATTGGCCTAACGGACATGTAATTGCCCGCCATTCAGCGTAGATGACTTGATCTGCTTTTGTGTGTATGCAGGGGGTAGCCAGAGTCTTGCTAAGAGGACCACAGGATTGACAAAAGCCCCGTTTATGGTGAACCGCCCCCTCCCCCCCCCCCCCCCATAAAGATATTCCCGAATGCAGTTTGCTTGCTAACAAGGGAACGGTTTTCTTCGTTTCATTGCTATTTTTACGTTGTGGCAACAACAGAATCCAGAAGCTACCATGAAATACATTCTGTTTACATTTTTAACACGCGCCTCGGAGACCGGTTAGATACCCTTCGCTCGGGTGGGGGTCAATTTGACCCCACTAAGATCTCGGGAACTAAGGCAGCTGGAGACACAAAATTCACCGGGCGTGTTGATCTATGCGTGAAGTCACTAAGGTCAAAGTTTGAGGTTCCTAGGTCATGATTTGATGGTCAAATAAGGTCAAACAAAATCAAATTTCAGGTTGGTTTCTAAATTGTCCCCAGAAGCTAGATAACTGTCAAAACCAAAAGAATGCAATAGGTCACACGTTTATTTAAGGTCAGTCACATTGTTTGACCTTTTGAAGGTCATGGCGATCAAAACCATACAAGACTGCGCTGAGTTTTGCATCTGAATGAGCGATATATTTTACGTTAGACAGTATGTTTCTTTTTTTGAAAAATGCTGACCTAGGTCATTTTAGGCCAATGACCTATTCTAACCTCTAAACGCCATTGGAAGATGTATGATGCGGTTTCTGCTATCAATAAATTCGAAATGAGCACCAGAAACTAACCTGTACAGTAAGCCCTAGAGTAATACAACAGGTTGTTTTTTACATTGGCCTGACCTTAGTACCTTACCTTAGGTCAGCATACTTTGCTCATTTAATACTTGTGTTGTCTAAGAAAGCGTCTCAAAGATGTATGGCTTCGTCTAACACTCCGTTGTTGCATCAGATTAAACGATTTTCTATAAGTTGACTTCGCTGAAACTATGGCCTGACTTCGACCTGCCATAGGTCAACGACCTTGCAAATTACATCTAATTTTTTTGCCAAACGATCCACTATTCAATTGTCTGCAGCTATGCAAAACATGGCGCGGCTGTGCCGCGTCGTTCAGAAACCATCTTGGAAAAACCTTTCGGGGGTAAGTCAATTTGACCCCCGACCCAAGCGCGTGTTAAAGTCAATAACTTGCAGAAATCAGGCGTTTAACGACCGCATGGAATATATCACCGGTGTCCTTAATTTGCCACGGCGGAATGGACTCTTTCTAGACCGACAGAGTTCAGAAGCTTTTTCATTATGTTTTACCTGCCTTCTACAAACATTGAGGACATTGCGAAGGTAGATTGTAGACCGATATGTTTGATCGAAATTTGAGGGTGAAAATTTTGATTGCAGATCGAGTGGTCAACGGTGTGTCTTAACATTGCCAAGCCATGTCTGTCAAGAAATATTTAACCAGGGTCAGCTCAACGGCTGATACTGAGCCGTGGCCAACGGGTGGACGAAAATGATGACGATTCTGAAAGAAGTACCTTTGAACGCTTCGGGACATCAAATCTTACATGTTCAAAGCAGTCTGGGCGCATATTTCACGTGTGCGATGTTTAGACTGATGATTATAGCAGATTGGCCTTCAACACGCGCTCGGGTGGGGGTCAACTTGCCCCCCGAAAGTTTTTCCAAAATGGTTCCCGAACTGCCCGGTGTAACCGCGCCAAATTTTGCATAGCTATAGACAATTGAATATTGGATCGCTTCACATGAACAAATTAGATGTACCTTGCAAGATCGCTGACCTATAGGAGGTCAAAGTCAGGTCATGGTTTTAGCGAAGGCAATTTCTAGGGAATCGTTCAATCCGATACAACAACGGAGTGTTTGACAAAGCCATACATCTCTGGGATGCTTCCTTAGGCACCACAAATATTGAATGAACAAATCCCGTTGACCTAAGGTCAGGTATGAAGGTCAGACCAAGGTCAAAACCAACCTGATTTATTACTTTGGGGCTTGCTATATGAGATAGTTTCTGGTGCTCATTTCGAATTTATTGACTGCAGGAAACGCATTTTACATATCCCATGAACTTATTAAAGATCAAAACAGGTCATTAATCTAAGATGACCCGTGTTGACATCTTGTTTTAGGAACATACTGCCTATCGTAATCTTTACCGCTTATTCAAATGTAAAACTCAAAGCAGTCTTGTATGGTTCTGGTCGCCATGGTCTTCAGAAGGTCAAACAAGGTCACTAACCTAAAAAGGGATTGTGACCTTTTGCTTAGAAACAGCTGCCTAGGTTCTGGGGGCACTTGGAGGCCAGCCTGGAGTTTGACCTTGATTGACCTTATTTGACCTGAAGGTCATGACTTAGGAAGCTCAAACTTTAACCTAAGTGAGTTCATGTAAAGGTCAAGACACATTGTGAATATTGTGTCTCTAGCTCTCTTAGTTTCTGAGATCTCAGGGAGGTTAAATTGACTCCCAACCCGAGCAAAGGGTATCTAGCCGTCCACCCGGGCGCGTTTCAAAGCACCGCGAAGTGGCGCTGGAATCTGGTGGTGGAACTGCAAGAGTGAAGGTAAATCCTCTATTTTTCGTGTTTCTGTAGCTATTTATTTGTCCAGAAGACAGATTAACACGGCGCCTGCCGTCTGGTGGCACTTGCAGTGGACTACGCCGTTCGGTTTTACGGACATATGCAGCCCAGACCATCGCTGTCCTTGTTCTCGAGGCTGCGGGAGGGAATGTTCAGACCTTTTGATGCACTTTTTTACGGATCCATTCTGAAAAATGAGTGTTCTTAGGCTAACATGGGATGGTCTTGTTCGTTTTTTTCAGATTCATTTCGACCTACTCTATTCAACAATAATGAGACCTCCAGCCTACTCAACAAAAATGAGGCCCCTTATTCCCTTCCGGGTAAGATGTCCCTGAGAAGAACACCAAGGGCACATTACCGGTTCCGATCAAGGGCTGAAGGACCACCCCTTCCCATCGACAAGTGTCTTCTGGCTGTCATTTGTGGCGAGCTCCTCCTAGGCGAGCTCCTAGGCGAGCGAGCAGTGGCGAAACCGCTGGGCCGCCCGGCCCCCCTTCGGGCCTTATCGAACGCCACCCTTGGTCGGCTTGAGGCCCCTTGCAAACACGGACCCCTCTGTTAAGCACTGCCGGCTCTGCAGACACAAGGGCCCCGAACAGCGTAAATCACTGGCCACGGCTTTGGAGCTGGTTGGGAAGTGGGCCTTCATGCCCATACCGACACGGAGGTGACTATGCGGTACTGGTAGCGCATGACCAACATATAGGCCCTGTTCAACTCAGGGGTCCCTGATCGGCGCAAGGAGCCCTCTAACTGTCATTTGAGGGTCCGTCCTTGCAGGCTGGAGCCCTTGAATAAGACCCGACCAGCCTTTCGTGCCCTTAAGCCCTCCAATCATCCCCATGATCGTAGGTCCCGGTGGGCCCTCCTGGCTCTTCGGGCCTCCACGAATACCACCTCTGCCTGACTCGGGCCCCTTGTCAATACAGGAACCTCTGTTAGGCTTTGTAGGGCCCTGCCAGACGCTGGGGCCCCGACTGATGTATGTCGCTGGCTCCTGCTCTGTCCCTGCTTGGGGAATGGACGCTCAGGCCCATGCCGACACGGAGCCGACTGTGCGTTATGGGTGGTATCTGACCGACATACAGGCTCTTATGGACTCAGGGGCCCCTGGTCAGCGCGCAGGGCCCTCTGGATGGCAATCAGGAGCCCGGTCCTGCGAGCCGGGCCTCTGAATACAACCTACGATCGGCCTTTCGGAGCCTTTTAGCCCTTAAATTGGGCCCTTAATCGTAGATCCCGAGGGGCCCGAAGGGCCCCCCAAAACTTGCGGGGGAGAGGGGGAGGGCACGTGCCCCCTGTGCCCGCCCCCCCCCCCCTGCCTGCGCTACCGGCTGCATCTCGGCCGCCCTCCACCGCACGTCGGCCGCCATCCGCCGCATCCCGACCAACCTATGTCACACCTCGACCGCCCTCGGCCTTACCTCGGCGGCGGTTGTGTTTTGTTAAGTGCATGCATGAGGCTCATGTTTTGTTCCAGTCCATCCAATGGCCGTCGCAAGACACGCGGTAACGCCTGGAGGCCAGTCGATAATGTCCTAACACGGCATTACGTGGAGGGCAATGGCATTCACCTGACTTTAAGCCGGTTCTTGTTTTTACGTGTATGTCACCCGCCCATTTTTCGGTTCAGTTGTACTTTGTGTATTTGTTCATTCCTTATTAGATATAGACAGAGATCGCAAAACTAGGCGTCGAGCAGCTGTGGAAAATACGACCATGAAAAACACGCTGTGGTGCGTAACATATGGATGCATGGAAGATATGCACGTCATGCATGGAGATGTGACCAGGGACCAGATGCTCTCTTGTTGCCTTCTGAACTCACTTTTCGGAATTATGTTTTGGAACTCACATTTTGGAAAACCGTTTGGAACTTTAGACCTTAAAGTCAGTCTAACGCATCAAGCGATATTCGCAGTGCTGAACACCACGATGGATGGGCTTAGTAAGCTTAAAGGAAATGAAACAGACAACACTGAAATCGGTTATGATTGGTTGACAACAGGCGGCGTCATTTCAAATAATTGATGGATCAAACGACCTACCAGCAATTGACAATATACATAGAGAGCCGCGGCATCTTCTGATTCATGCGGCATTGGTCCTTTTTGCCAGTCGTCCTTTTCATTTAGCCAAACCTTAACAGACGATTCGCGATGGACAGTTTAAGCCACCATCAAAGGTATGCCGAAATGATCATGCGTTATACTTTGTACAAAGTGCGTCTGCAATCTGTTGTTCGTTCCAACGCCCGCTGTTTTAAAATTGGTCCGTTGTATATTCTCCTTGCCCGGAGCGCCTTTGCAAGCGTCAGCCAAGCCCTCATCATGTAGAAGATCAGACCGGCAGCTCGCCGCAGATCTGCTCCTGGGACGGCAGCTCGCCGCAAATCTGCTCCTGGGACGGCAGTGCGCCGCGGACCTACCACTGGGACGGCAGTCCGCTGCAGACCTACCACTGGGACGGCAGTGTGCCGCAGACCTACCACTGGGACGGCAGTTCGCCGCAGGTCTGCCACTGGGACGGCAGTGCGCCGCAGACCAACCACTGGGACGGCAGCTCGCCGCAGATCTGCTCCTGGGACGGCAGTCCGCCGCAGACCTACCACTGGGACGGCAGTCCGCCGCAGGTCTACCACTGGGACGGCAGTGCGCTGCAGACCTACCACTGGGACGGCAGCTCGCCGCAGATCTGCTCCTGGGACGGCAGTCCGCCGCAGACCTACCACTGGGACGGCAGTCCGCCGCAGATCTACCACTGGGACGGCAGTCCGCCGCAGATCTACCACTGGGACGGCAGTCCGCTGCAGGCCTACCACTGGGACGGCAGTGCGCCGCAGATCTACCATTAGGACGATAGCCCGCCGCAGATCTGCCAGAGACGGCTCACATCGTGCGGCGGGCTGAGGGCTTTTCGCCCTTTTTGGCCAGCACGCAATTGCCGCTCCACTGCCACCAGCGTCGGCGGCACCTGAGGCCGGCCGCACATGTGCCCTTGACCGCGAGCGGTCCAACGCGGGATTTGCCGAGTCCCTTGTCGCAAACCGGGCAGCCGCAGTCGCAACACGCCGAGACGCTGCCCCAGGGCATGCACCGCATCCGGCTGGGACTGTTCTTTAGGCACTGATGGCGGTGCTGCGCCGTGCGGGGAGGGCGAAAGCCTGCCGCGTCCAGGGTCAGCACAGCCGCCGCCAACAGGCACGGCAGCAGCAGGCGTACGCTGGCAGGACAGGGGCGGCGGACGTTCAGGCGTGGTGCGCGCAGCCGCACACCGCCGCCGCTGAAGTAGCGCCGGCTGTCCGCAGGCGCCGACAGCGGCGCAGTCGCGTCACCTGTCCGCGCAACACCCGCCAGCAGCGAACAGGCGCTACAGGGCGCACGGCGACGACTAGTCGGCGAGGTGACGGCAGAAGGATACTGAAGTTGAGACTGAACACGCCAGACGGTCGATCGGAATGGATTCTGGACCCGTCACTATTCGGGGCTCGTGGTGAGGTGGATCGTTCCACTTCACCAGAGCTGGACTTTTACTCGCAGATGACAAGAAGCAACGAACTATAATTACATGGCCAGTAATGTCGCACTTTCCCGCAAAATGAAGAGTGCGGGTCCACACGCATGGGTCCGGGTGAGGCAGGACTCTGAGGAGGATGCGGAGTTTACGAAACTGTAAACATTTCACACTGGCCCTACGGGCGACGAATGGAAGAAGTATCCAAAAATGACTATACTCCCCCCTCCACACACACATACACACACACACACACACATATATATATATATATATATATATATATATATATATATATATATATATATATATATATTATCACGCTCACAATGCCATTATATCCCTGTTTAGCTGTGACAGTTTTTTTTTGGTGCTGAAGGAACGCACAGAAATATATATATATATATATATATATATATATATATATATACATATATATATATATATATATATCACTGGGGGTGATTTAGATTTCCACTCCATGCGGCCTTCTGACGCCACTTTCGACGACGACGTGTGGCGTCGACAAAAGCCTTTTGCCATGTGGTGCATGAAATGCTGTGCCAAGAGCAAGATTGTGAAGGCCATTCTTGCACCACAGAGCAAATGATTCGCTCTAACGATCGGCACGGAGGCAACAGAGAACATATTGGGATATTCGAATCATTAACATGGCTAGGTTGATTGCATGACTTCATTACACCACCAATATTATCATTGCTGTAAAAATTGTATTATCACGCTCACAATGCCATTATATCCCTGTTTAGCTGTGACAGTTTTTTTTTTTGGTGCTGAAGGAACGCACAGAAACAGTGTCCTAGAATTGCCGACTTTGGGTGTAAAGCAGCACCCTATGAGGAGGAATTTTTCACTCCTTTTCCCCATATTTTATGTGAATTATTCACTCATGCTTGACATTGTCTAATCACACATGCCAAACCCCTATTTCCCTTTCTGAGGTTTTCAGATGTCATCCAAAACCGAGCTCATTTGAAACCACCAAGCATAAACGAGGTTCCGCAGAACCTGGACACCAATGGCTATGTCCTGCCTCACATACATCTGAATCATGTCTATGTATATACAGAGCAAGGGCGCCAGGTACCTCCAAGCCCAGGGACCCCAGCGACCCCAGCCGCTTGCACGCATTAAGTTTGCTTTGTTTACAAAATGCATCACAATCTGCCGCTGTGCGCCAAATGCAAGGCTTTCACGCATCCCCTATCTTTTTTTGTCTCACCACCACACCACGAAAGCAGAGCCTGGTGCAAACACCAGCAAGGCCTGGTAAAAAATTTTACGCCTCGTATTCCTTTTTTCCGAGGAAACTTGACCACCAAATTGCATTACTCACAAAATGCATGAGTGAAAAGTCCAAGAAATGTCTTATAAATTAAACTTAGAAGATGAATACCACCATTTCAGCACCTACATTAACATATTTTAAGTCAAGTCAGCTGATTGCTAAATTTTGTGAGAACAGTGCCAGTCTTTATATTTATTTAGCTACTTTTGTTTTCCTTGGTATCGTACAAGTGTCATGCCACTTTATTCTTCCTTCCTTTTAGATTGCCTTTATAGATACCGTCTGCTGCTTAAAATTTTGACCTTTTTCTCTGCAAGATGCTACAACTGCAAACTTATGCGTATTTCATACATAAATTAGATTAATTCGCCAGCCGCCTAAACATATTTGATATGAACCCAAGCGTGAACAATTCACAGAGAATGAAGGAGATAATTTGAAGCACGGAACTTATTTTTACCGCCATTTTGCCCTCTTAAACCTTCGTTTCACCGTGTTCTTGGTTCATGGCGGTGCTCAATAATGATAAATCCAAGCCTTTCGAGTGTCTGACTCACCAGGCTACCTGGCAGGGCATCAGCATTAGAATAAATGCTGCCATATAGAGCCTTGGGACAGACCCGACTAACACAGAAGTGTTTGATGGCGAAATTCTGCTCTCTGGAGATGTGTATCATGCACACCTCTTACTTGTCTCGCATTTTAATCTCGAAGGTTGGTGGGCATGGCTGATATCTATATTTGAGGAGAGAGTCGAATGACTCTCTCTGCCAGAAGACCATGCAAAAGGTACTGCATTTTTGTTTTTGGGGGAGCAGGAAGAAGCCAGTAAGTCTCCTGTGGACCAAGTAATTGCTTACCTTACCTGCTTTCAACACATGATTGGTAACCAGAGTTAGCCATTTTTTGTTCTAATGCGTCGGGTTTTGCCATAAGACAAATTATGATGCCGCAAAGAATGCAATGGGGTTATTTTATTGCATAGCCTTGCTTATTTGCCCCAAATTTCTTAAAGCGGTCCCTTATCGCTTCTTTAACCACATGTTTTCTAATCGTCATAGATTGCTGACTGACAAATGACTGTACGGTATATATGCACTATATTTTTAAGATACAGATACTCTAAGCTGCATAGCAATTATAATATGAGTTAAATATTGGTATGTAACAAGTAGTCAGACCACCCTATTTCAAATGTGAAGCCGACATCTCAAACTTTGTCATTAAATATGAATAAACAAGCCCAAATGGATGCATTTGCTGCAGCTGAAAAGGCAAGCAGCAATACTGGCATGGTCATCTAAAAGTTGTGCTATTTTTGGAAAAACGAGATTGTTTTGTGGAGCATACCGATTATTGCCCTTGACATAGGTTAACCATGATAATCAAAATAAGTTATTCAAAGTGATGTTAAGTGTCTTGATTTGTGTGTTGTCAACTTTGTCTGATGTCAACAAGCATACACAAATGAACTGAATAAAAATGCAAGTTGGAACCAGTCAAAAACTAGCTTTAAATGTCATGTTTTTATCACAAGTGCGGCTGGCAACAGATAGGTGAGTTGAGATGAAGTTCATCATATGGGCTACTCTAAGTTAGGTTAAGTTGGTCAAGTGCATGACACGTGACAATAGGAACTGTGCAAGAATCAGTAACTCACAACTGCTGCTGTGCTACAAACAAGTTATACAGGATGAGATGATGTGAGGCCTCTTTAGGCTAGACAGAGGCTACTGTCATGGAAATAAGCATTGGTTTTTTTGTAAGAAACAGTGACAAATGTTTGTTTTCCCTGAACCCATCTTAACAGAAGCCAGAAGTATTTCCATTGTGTTTGGCTTGGTGATGGGCAAATGTGTAGAGTCCGAGGTTTTTTGTTTTAGTGTTTTATGCTTGCTGAATTTTCTGTTGTTATTTTGTTATTTAACTCATTTGCTTTGTTTTGTCTTTAAAGTGCTGTGGATGGGAAGTGAAAAGTGCTGCACCAAATTATTGGCGTTAATAATTTGTTATGCTCATAATACTATCATGAAATTATTATGCTTTAACTCGCTCCCGGTTGGCCGGCTAGATACCCTTCGCTCAGGTGGGGTGGGGGTCAATTTGACCCCCCTCTGAGATCTCGGGAACTAAGAATACTAGGGACACCGAATTTACAGGATGTCTTGATCTTTACGTGAAATCACTTAGGTTAAGGTTTCAGCTTCCTAGGTCATGACCTTCAGGTTGAATAAGGTCGATCAAGATCAAATTCCAGGTTGGGGTCCAAAGCGCCCCCAGAACATGGGTAACTGTCTCTAAGGAAAGTTCACAAGCCCATTTGGGGTCATTGACCTTGTTTGATCCTTTGAAAGTCATGGTGACCAAAATAATACAAGACTGATTAGCGTTTTGTATTTGAATAAGCGACAAAGGTTACACTAAGCAGTATGTTCCTAAAACAAAACGCTTGACCCGGGTCATCTTAGGTCAATGGCCTGTTCTGACCTCTAAGAAGTCAATTGAAGATGTATAATGCGGTTCTTGATATCAATAAATTAGAAATGAGCACCAGAAAGTATCCCATACAGCAAGCCCTAGAGTAATAAATCAGGTTGGTTTTTACCTTGGTCTGACCATCATACCTGACATGAGGTCAATGCAATTTGCTCATTCAATATTGGTGGTGCCTAAGAAAGCATCTCAGAGATGTACGTCTTCGTCAAACACTCCGTTGTTGTATCAGATTGAACGATTCCCTAGAAATTGCCTTCGCTGAAACCATGGGCTGACTTTGACCTGTCATAGGTCGGCGACCTTACAAGGTACGTCTGAAATTTGTATGTCAAACGATCCGCTGTGCAATTTCTACAGCCGTGCAAAATTTGGCGCGGCTACGCCGCGCCGTTCAGAAACCATTTGGGGAAAGCCCTCGGGGGTCAATTTGCCCCCACCCCCACCCAAGCGCGTGTTAATGTATGCTGTTTTATTTTAATGGCTTAAGATGTTAAAAAACGAAATGGTTTTGTCAGGTTTCTGATATTACGTCTATG